GGTTCAATTAATTATATTTTATGGTGCTTTTCTAAATAGCTTTGTGAAAAATCAAATTAAAATTTGCAGCCTAACAGCTGAAAACCATACTTTACCTTGGAAATAGTGTGTGCCTACTAAAACCTAAAACTAATAGGAAAAACACAGATTGACATTTTTTATGACAATAAGATTTTGGTATAAGTTTTGTTTGTGATGGGAATCATTATGTACTGTTTTTACATCATTCTATGTTGATTCCTGCCTAGCAGAGCTATCGGTAAACTGTATGCCCTGAAACATTTCTTAGACTCTCTTCAGTTAAATCAGTTCTGGAAAGTGTCAAATAAGAGGTAATAATTCCAGAAAGGAGCAAAGAAATGTGTGAGCTTAAGATCTCTACCTCTTATTAAGAGAATGTCTTCAGATTCTCAGAAAGCTACATAGTTTCAGAAGCAGACAGGCATACTTTAGACTGGTCAGATGGACCTTGTCAAGGGGACTAACCCAGATCAGTCTTTGTGAACATTTATGGGGTTTTGTGTTTTGTTTTATTTTCAGTCTACTTGGTGGCCACGTCAAGACATCCTTTTCTTAGAGTCTGACAGATTTGTTGCCTTACAGAACCTCAGTCTTGAGTTCTTTTTTTGTACTTCTGCTATTAAAACATGTTGCCATTGGATGAAGGAATTTCCTTTTGGTATGCGAACTCAGCTCTCAAACTTTTGACTCAACCAGGTTCTGGAGCAGAACTCTTGTATCCATGCTGAAATCTCTTTAGCCTATAAATTAAAATAAGTCACCATGAAATCACTGCTCTGCATCCAATTACTGAATGAACAGAGAAACAATACATTATTATGTAGTTCAACATGAACTGAGCTGTTTCAGCACTAATTCAGACATGCTGAAGCACCCCACTCTTTGGCAGTAGCCAATATTAGTGTTACTGTTAATGTGCCATTTAATGTGATTTAGATTAGAGCCTGGGGAATCTTTACCACCAGCAGAAATTTTAGACATGGGTATCAACTACAGACCTTTAGGAAAATTCTGTTTAATTTGCAGCATTTAAAATATTCTTTTCTTGAAATTGGTACCTCTCCTTTCTTCATCTTCCTATATACTGATTTAGTTGGTCTATAAAAAAGTGTTAGTTGCTCAGGCATGGTTGCTCAGGCATGTTTGATTCTTTGAGACCCTGTGGACTGTAGCTCACCAGGCTCCCCTGTCCATGGAATCCTCCAGGCAAGAACACTGGAGTGGGTAGCCATTCCCTTCTCCGGGGGATCTTCCCGAACCAGGGATAAACCTGGGCCTCCTTCACTGCAGGCAAATTATTTACTGCCTGAACCACCAGGGAAGCAAGTTGACATTACTTCCTTCATGGAGAAAATAGCAGTCTCATTAAGGCAGTCCTGGGAATAATGGGAAATAGCTCCAAAAGACCACTTAAAACATATACAGCATTTGAGATTAAAGTCATACCTTACTTTTCACTCACCTCCCCTACCTCACTGGATAACAGATATCACTGAATTTTTACAAGTGCAGTTTGATTGATTTTGTACCTGACCTGATTAGAAAGTATTACCAGACAGATGAATCTTGTCTGACTCAGGGTAATACCAGTAACTGAACTGAAACAGTAGTGGCTGGTTCAGGCTAACATGACAACAACTTTGCTTTGTTTACTTCGGCTTTCTAGCCTCCCTGCCCCACCCCTACCTGCCCCCCAATTAATATCTGCCTCAACCTGCTTGTCACTGTAGATAGGAGAGGCCCTCACTGGGGAATTGGCTCCTATCCTTGATGACAGCTCCCTATTACTCTTGTCTGTCGCTCTGCTGCCACCTGTGTCATATTTTCAGAGGAAGATGACAGCCTCTCTCAGAAACTTTTCAGTCAAGAGGAAGGCTGCCAAATAAAGTCTGAATAAGCTATAGTTTTGCTAGTTAGAAAGCATACTGAAATTGTCCTTTACTTGTGCTCTGTGGACATAGCCCAGTTCGGTGAACCTTTTTATTTCTGGCTATGTGTCTCTAATACCCCTTGCGTTCTGTCTCTGTAAGATCAGAGATCTTGAGTCTGAGTTGCAGGTCAGGTGTATCTGATCAGCTGAACATAAATGGAGGATTGTCAGAATTGCTTTTCAGTTTCTCTTACATGGTTTTGAATAAAATTGACAAGCAGCATGGTGGGTGGGGGTCGGGGTGGGGAGGGGAGTACATTTAGATCCTGTCCAGCTAAGATAATACTCATATAATGCTCAAATATAATAAGAATGAAATCTAGGAAAATAAGAGCTATAAATGGGCTTTTTTTCCTTTGGAAATAACACTACTAGTGAGTGCGTTTTCTCAATACCTTTTATTGAATTTAGCATCTTTGATAATATTGCTTTTTCTCTTCCAATGTGTTTTTTCTTTCTTGCCATCAAGTCCCAACTAGGTCCATAAAGAATTCCATCTCTTTCAAACTTGAGTTGTGAGATAGCCCAGAAGGGAAGATAATGGCTGTGGGGAGAATGTGTAAGCCCATCAGAAAGACATAAAACCAGATCAAAACCAGCACTGGGACAAATGAGACATTCTGCATCATTGCCTTCCTTAGAAAGGGCTTTTCTTTCTGCTCAAGTTCTAGCTTCCTTTTCAATTTAGGAGATAGCTCCAAAGTAATTTCTAAACTGATAACTCTTTTCTGACTCCAGATAATAGTTAATTCTCTAAGGCAGTGGTTTTCAACTTTGTCTGTACATTGGAATCACTAGGGCAACTTTTTAAAATTCTGACGCCCAGGCTACACCTCAGAACAATTAAGTCACTATGACTAGAACTGAGACTTGGGCATTAGTGGTTTTAAAAGTCCCCTTCCCCTGACGTGCCACAATCCATGGGATCACAAAGAATCAGACATGACTTAGCAACTGAACAACAACTCGCCACACTGTACACACAAAGGTGGTTGATTCCACTTTGTCTTTAAGGTTGAAAGCCATCATTATTAGAACAAAATTGAGATCGTTATTAATACTCTTAGAAAGTTTGACTCTTAATCTAAGAAGCCTCCAAGTTTCATAAAGAGAAATTGAAAACTAAAGACCTCCATAAGCAGCTTGCTTTTGCAAATTTGTTTTCTGTGGCTTCTTTCTTTTTTTTACACCTATCTACCCTGTGCTCAAACCTAATTAGACTGCTCATTCTTGATCATGCTTTTATTCCTACTTTTTAACCTTTGTTCCTTCTGAGAAATAACCTCTCCCGTTTTTGCTTTCTGTAATTTCACAAGCATCTTTCCATTATCCTTCAGCCAAAAGGAGGCTCTTCTCTCAGGAACTTTGCTTTTTTTGTGTTAGCATGTTCTGTATGGTTTTGCACTCGTGTTTTATTTTTCTGCTAGTTTGCAAAGCCTGGATCTGGTTCGTCTATGTATTCCCCTCATCACCTGGCATCTTTACATTCCCCATCCTACCTTTCCTCCAACAAACGTTATGTAAGTGTGTGTTTGAATGAAAGGACTCTCATGCTCCGGATGTGTGCTGTTCTAGAAACAGGGAGAAGGCAGATGTGTAATGTCCTTTCTGTTTGCTCTCATGTTTCCAGTTACTCAGAGTCTTGGTTGTGGTGACCTTTGTATCTGTCTGAGCCTGTGACTTCTCCCAGGTCCAACCACTACATAGTCTTCAGAAACCAGATTTTGGAAGTGTTGACTCTGAGGTTTGGAGTGCTCTGTAGCTTAGTGCAAAGCAAGCTTTTTTGTGCCAGTTAGGCAGCACCTGCCTGGGTGGGGTTTTTTTTTTTTTTTTCCTGCCATGCTAGAAACAGAATGTTGTCATAAGTCCCATTATTTTTCAATATATATATTATTTTTGAGATTTGAAAACTCAGTTTTATGTATCTTTTCACTGAGAAGATAATAAATCCTCTCTCTCAAATCCTGAAGATAGTACAGTTTTTTTTAAACACATCCGTAGCATCGAGCTCTCAAAGTTTCTATCACTAAATGACAATAAAGGAAACTGTTTTGTAAAGCAGACAAGGCATTTGGTGATTCAGAGATGAATTTGAGATACACAGGGAGAACTAGGGAAGCAGCAGTGTGAAATTGTTACACAAAAAAAAGTGGCATTTGCCTTTTCAAGGGTACCATTAGTTGCATGTATGTATGTTTTATGTTTCTTTGTGCTAGCTGTTTTCAGCTTCAGTTCTTTTACTTTTGTCCTGAAATTCAGGGTGAATTATATCAGAGCCCTGGGGGGTGGGGGAGGCAGAGCTAAGACCATGTGGAATTATTTTCCTGTCACCAAGCTAATTATGTTAATCTAATTCTGTAATAGCTGACATCCTTTTAAATAATCTACTTCAGAGAAATCACAGCATTTCTCCTTAATTGTACTGGCTGTGAGAGAGAGTTGAAAAATGGCAAGCCTTCCCACTTCCTCTCCAGGTAGGATATCTTCCTAACCCAGCTGTTGCTTTCTTAGCACAGTTCTAAACTGAAAATCTCTCTTGTTCCAGCTGTAATATTTGGAGCTTGAAATCTCAGTTCACTACTGGTTTGGCCCCTACTTTCTCAGTGAGGCAGCAAGTTTTGTAGTTCAAAGCACATTTTCATTTTTATTTTCTTTTTTCCCCCTCAAATTTCCTTTTAAAAAATAAGATGTATCCAAAACATTACTACCTGGAGATAGAGCTTCCTGGAATATGTAAATTCTTTAAATGCTGTTTGGGTTTGTGTCTGTGTACCCCAGTGGAAAGATTGGATCTGAAACATCCCTGAGGTGTCCCAGATCCATCTTCTTTCCAGGTTTTCTGAAAACTCCCACACATCATGTCCCCTACTTAGTTCCCCTAGGATGTATTTCTTTGCAATCTAGAATTTCTTTAGCCTTTGGGAGTCAAGTTGAATAGCATGTGTTCCCCACAAACTTGGTAGAGCAATTTGCACATTCTGTATGGGCATCTAGTACTTAGCTAAATGAACTCTACCTTTCTCTCCTCTCTCTCCTTTCTCTCTTTCAGCTTGGCAGTGACCTTGGCGGGGGCATTGGAGGAAGTCCGGCAGTAAGTGCCCTCGGTTTTTCTCACCATGGGATGCGCTGCCCCCTGTTTGATGCCTTTCCTATGCGCACCTTCTCAGACCAGCCACCGCTGCTGCCTAGCCCTGTACACCAGAACCTCTGTAGCAGTGTTAAGAAGAGTAGACAGTAGTGTAGGCTTACTTAGACTCTTTGGGACCATACACCACATGTGCTGTAGGGGTGTCTTTAGGGATTGGCGCTCTGGTGTCTACAGAGTTCTTTGTCTTCCTGATGGTAAAGAGCCAAAGGAAATGGAACCTCCCATCTTGACGAGAGAATACCCTTATTCTCTTCTGTCATCTAGAAAGAGCTTGAGAGTCACTGGACTCCAAGTGAGACTCTCCTCGTAAAAGAATTGGGGAGTATGAGTATCCATCTCCCCCAGGAGAGTTTCCTGGGCATACTATAGGCCTTTTGCACAGAATCATGGAAGCTAAAATTGGAAACAAATAGGAAAAAACCTTGGGTTACTGTGTTCCTGATCCTGCTGATTACTCTCTCTTGATAGAACTTCTAAAGAGTGTGTGTATCTTTTCAGTGATGAAAAAATAACCATGATGATTTAAAGGACAAAGAATATATGAATTAAATTCCTAAGAATATTGTAATTATGGTGTGTTCTTATTGATTTACCAACAACTATTAAAATAGATAGCAACATTTTAAGGACTATTAATCTGTTCTTCCTGATCTCCCTGCTCCCCTTCCTTTCACTCCCTGCAGGTGGGACAGTCCTTCATTCCGTCATCAGTGCCTGCAACCTTTGCTCCCTCCCCTACTCCTGCTGTGGTCAGCAGTGGTCTGAATGACCTGTTTGAACTCTCCACGGGGATAGGCATGGCACCTGGTGGATATGTGGCTCCTAAGGCTGTAAGTAACACACTTTCTTAGTGGACAGGACCTGAATTATTTAACGTTTAACATTTGCATTACTCCCACTGATAATAAGTCCAAGGTTGGGGCCCTTATTCTAGAGAATTTACAAGGAACATGAATGGTGGCCTCAAACCTAGTAATATGAAGCGCCATAGCACCCTTATTAACCATTTTTATAATTAGACTTAAAATTGGAAATATTAACTGTTTAGGTTTTGTTCTCTAGTTTAGAAATATTGCCTTGCTTGTCAGCACTGAAATCAATCTAGTGATCAATCTAGTGATTTGAACTGTGTATCAGTTCAAAGCAGAGGGGAAAAGACATAACATTTTACTTCACTTTCCTTCTGCTCTCCTTTTCCATTGGTATTGCATGTGGATTCTAAAGTGCCATTGCTCAGACTTGGTTTTCATGCATCTTAGTGCACCTTTTTTAGAGTCCTGATTTAGGTTAGTGTCGTTAATATCTTTCTAGTCTCAGCCTTGCTTGATATCATGCTCAAAAGGAAATTCAGAAGAGGAAGGGGAAACTCCTGTAAATGAAGCTTATTTCAGCACCTTAATTGCCTAATGAAGTGAAATCTTAATTTCATCTTTATTTACTCAAATACAGCAGTGAGATGAATCCTGTCTGATTTCATTGGGCTTTATGCTGTGTTTTAGGTCTGGCTGCCTGCAGTAAAGGCTAAAGGCCTGGAGATTTCAGGAACGTTTACTCACCGCCAAGGGCACATCTATATGGAAATGAACTTCACCAACAAAGCTCTGCAGCACATGACGGACTTTGCAATTCAGTTTAACAAGAATAGGTAAGAAATCTGAGTTCCCCAGCTCAATCCTGAGATGGCCGTGTACTTTGTGTCTGACAAGTGAGTGTTCCGTTCAGCAGTGGGTAGAAACTCTTGTGTTGGCGGATGCCCAATGTAGACTGAGCGAAGGCTCTTGTATATCTCTTCAGTGGTCAGCTTTAACTCTGGAGGCCCTAGGGAAGTCTGCTGAGGAGGTTGTCCGTGTGGAATAAGGAAGCCAGGACTGACTGACTGCCATAAAGGATTCTAGAACTTGTATGTCTTTATTAACACAGTTTACCAAAAAAAAACCACTTTTAGTTGAAACCCATTTATACAGTTAATAATAATTGTTTTGCATCTGAGTGCCAGACATTTCTGGGTACTAAAGCTTGAGTGATGAAACAAATAGTGTCTCAGATGTGTGCCCAATGTTTGTAACTTGGACTTCCCGGTGGCTCAGCTGGTAAATAATCCTCCTGCTATGTGGGAAACCTGGGTTCGATCCATGGGATGGGAAGATCCCCTGGAGAAGCGAAAGGCTACCCACTCCAGTATTCTGGCCTGGAGAATTCCATGGACTGTATAAACTTTTGTTTGACTGTATAAACTTTTGTTTGACTGTCCAAGTCCAGTGATTTTTCTAGGATATTCCCAGGGTTGACCAATGTTACTTTTTCTTGGAATAAGGTGTGCCCTTTCAGTGTGTGAGAAAAATGAATTTTGGTTCTCACATTTTGGTGAGAAAAATGAATGGACTTTGGCTGCTGTAAAAAATATGGAAGACAGTCTGCCTGTTAACTGAATAATCATATATAGGCAGACAGTTTGCTTTTAGCAATGAATTCTCTGCCATAATAAGGAAGAGAGTTACGACAGATGAGAGCTTATTCTGCTTTCTACCTGCTTGTCTCCTTTTCCTCTCATTTTTGTCAGTTGTCATTTCTATATTTTATTCTTTCACTTTTATCCTCATCTTTGTTTCGTCTTGAGCTTGTGCTTGTGCTTGCTGCCAGTCCTTTTACTTACATTTCCATGATCATTTCTTGCATGTCTTCTAGTAGGTTCCTCAACAAGGCCTCAACAGTCCTTGAATTCTTACATGCTCAAAATCATGACTTATACGCTTGAAAATTCTTGACTCAAGCTCTTCGTTTTACTGCAGAGTCGTTTTTCATTTAATGTTCCTGAGGAGAAGTTCATTGCCAGCATGGTTTCCCCTGTGCCTATAAGTAATCTGATCATTCTGTTTGACTGCTCCGAGTTTTGAAGCCCAGTACCTTTTCTGGGAGGCTCCCTGTGTTGACCAGTGTTAGTCAGTGTTTCCTGGAGTAAGGTGTGCCCTTCCAGTGTGTGCCTTGAGGTCCTGTATCTCCGGAAGGTTTTCAGGGTTTGTGTGTGTAACCTTTTGTACTGTTCCATTGTTCACATTTTCTTCTTTGGAGAATTATGTGTTTATTGACTTTGTCTGTTATATGTACTATTTTTCTCTCTAATATTTTCTTATCTATAAATATTGGAATATGTATCTCATGACCTTTTTTTAAATCCATTAACCACAGCACCATTATTAAACTCAAAAATTCTTTAATATTATTAAATTCTTTAATATCATTAATATTATTAAGTTCTTTAACATCATTAGCAGATTATTGCAATTCCCTAGTGTTGTACAACTTGTTTTATCTGAACAGGATCCCATTGGTCCCCATGTATACCAATTAATTGATACGTGTCTTAAGTCTCTTTTAACCTATAGACTTTTCCTCCTCTCTCTTCCTTGAAATTTACTTGTAGAAGAAATTAGATCTTTTATCTGTAGAATTTCCCACAGTCTAGATTTTGCTGATTATATCTGTAAATTGGTCTATAGGCTTAATTAGACTTAGACTTGATCTTCTGACTGGAGTGCTTCATGAGTAGTGGTGATCTTTTTCTTCATTTCTGTTTTATTATATTTGCTTTTTCTTATTTATTCTCTGTGTCTCTTACTGTTTTACTATGATGTCTCTTGTTCTTTGTAGCTCTGTCTCTGCCACTATAATCATACCTTCTCTATAATATTTTGTAAATGAAATTACATAGTATGGAGTCTTTTGCATTAGATTTCTTTCACTTAGCATAATGCTTAGAGGTGTTTCAGCAGTCTGTTTATTGTTGAGTAGTATCCCAGTGATGCTTGTAGCACAATTTGTTTACAGTTTCACCAGTTGGTAGAAGTGGGGGTTGTTTCCACTTTTATCTTTCATGGCTAAAGCGCCTATGAATATTCATGTATATGTCTTTGTGTAGAATTGTGTTTTCATTTTTTCTGGGTAAATACCTAGCAGTGGTATTGCTGGGTCATATGGTAAGTATGGATGTTCCAGCTGTTCCATGTTCTCACCAATGCTAGCCATTTTGTAGATGTATAGTAATATCTCTCTACTAACTAACAATAGTGAGCATTTTTTTCATAATCTTGTTGACTAATCATATCTTCTTTGGTGAAGTATCTGCTCAGATCATTCCTTTTTCTTTTTTAAAAAAATTGTCCTGTTATCAAGTAGTAAAATTTTTTATATTTTCTGGCTATGAGTACTTTTCAGATATGCCTTGCAAATATTTTCTCCCAGTCTGTAGCTTATTTTTACTTTCTTAGTGTTTTTCAAGGAACAGGTTTTTTATTTAAACACAGTTTATTTTACAATTTTTTCCTTTATAAGTCTTTTGCTTTTTGTTTTCTGTTTATCAAATCTTTGCCTGACCCACAGTTATTAATACAATTCAAAAAAATTTAATAGATATGGCAATCAATAAAGCTCTTATGGTTACCTTTATAATTTATTTTGAGATAATTTTGGTGAGATAATATGGTGTAATGTGCAATATCCAATTGTGTCTGACTCTTCACGGCCCCATGATTATAGCCCACCAGGCTTCTCTGTCTGTGGAATTTTCCAGGCAAGAGTACTGGAGTAGGTTGCCATGCCCTCCTCCAAGGGATCTTCCCAACCCAGAAATCCTCACCTCTTGAATTGGCAGGTGGATTTTTTACCATTAGCTCCACCTGGGAAGCCTAAGATGGTGTAAAGTAAGAATCAAAGTCAAATCTTTTTCTGTAGTAAATCTTGAAGTCATATAGTGTAAACCCTCCAACTGTGTTCTTTTTCAGAAATTGTTTTGGGCAAGTCTAGGTCTTTTTTCTGCTTGGATTTTGATGGAAAGTATAGGGAATATATTAGATCAGTTTAGGGAAGAACTGACAACAAACAATACTGAGTCTTCTAATCCATCAGCATAGCATATCTCTCCATTTATGTAGGACATCTTGAACTTCCCTCTACAGTATTTTATGATTTTTCATGTACAGATCTTACACATCTTTTGTTGCATTTAAGTGTTTCATAGCTTTGATGTTATAGTAAGTAACATGTTTTAACTTTCGGTTGCTAGTATATAGAAATACATTTGATTTTTGTATATTGAACTTGTATCTTGCAACTTTAATAAACTTACTTACTAGTTCTGGTAGCCTTTTTTTAAGATTCCCTATGGTGTTCCACATAGGTGAATTATGAGAGCAAGATCAAAAGGGCAGAATGGTTTTTGACCCATAGATGTTAATACCAAAATGATTTGATGTGTCTACTCAAAATCATTTATTACATTTGGGACTCTAAAGTATAGCTTATCTAGGAAAAGGAAAATGTTTCTCCTGCTATTCTGTGACTCTTGAAATTGATACTGCCTAAAAAACTCTAGTTATTTTATATTACAATCTCATCTTTCTTCCTGAAGCTAATTAGAGCATAAATTCAATGTAAATTTGTATCATTAAGTTGTTCATTTGTTTTACCTGTGGCCCAACTTTTCCCTTTCAGTCTTCCTTCATACATTTTTGTTTTTATGTGACTTCAAACTCAGACTTTTCCTAGCTCTTTACTATTCTTATATTATTATCATGCAGGCTTCTGTGAGAGAAGTCTTAACTGTGGTGGATACCCACTGCTTGCCTTAGGCTAAGAAAGTGGCCAGATTTGAGTCTACAGCCTGTCTTTTGTCCTTTGGGGTGGTGTTTTGAATATTTAAGCCAGTCAATTCTGCTTTACTTAGAGTGGCTTTTTCCCAATGATTGTATCCTATGTAAGTAAATAAAAAAGAAAGTGAGTTACCATAAATCATCCTCTGGGCTGATTGGGCAGGTTATCAGGCTAGTGAAATAGTAGTAGTGTACTTTGCAGGGCGGTATTCTCCCAAGGATTATCTAAAGACAGATGTATAAAAAAAGATGTTTATCAAACCTGCCCCTCTAGTGACATAATAAACATAAGAAAATTTTAGCATCAGGCCATTACCTAACCAGTTCTCTGCTGCTGAATGTTTTCTCCTTCCTCTAATCTGTTTCATGAAAAACAGAGGTTATGTGGTAACCAGTGTTACAGCAAATTAGAATTGGGCACTTTAGCTCCTGCTGTTCCTTCCATTTAATTTTGTTAAAAATTATGTTTCCTTGTAAAAAGCCATTGAAACCTAAAGATGGGTCTAAATCCTGCCTCCTAATTAACCTCTAGGATTTCTTCACCCTCTCTCCTAGCTTTGGTGTCATTCCCAGCACTCCTCTGGCCATCCATACACCACTAATGCCAAACCAGAGCATCGATGTCTCCCTGCCCCTCAACACCTTGGGCCCCGTCATGAAGATGGAGCCTCTGAACAACCTGCAGGTTAGACATTTACTTCACTCTGGATGTACAGGTTGATATTTTGCCAATTTTATTTTATTTATATGTAAAGCAACTCCTCTCATATCAGATTTAGTCATGGAATAGGGTTTGAAATAACTCTGTGGAGAAGACTTATTTTTCGTTAAAACATGCACACAGAAAAGTCATACATTGACACAGAAAGTTATTAATTTTTTTTAACTCAACAAACAAAAACTTTTCAAGGTGTTATTTAGAAACTTTTTTCTTAAGACTTTCATAAAAGGGAATTTGACCGTTGTAAGAGTAGATTTCAGGAAAGCTATGTGGCAGTCATCTTTGAACACACTGCTGTAAATAGTTGGGTTATCTGTATGATATGCATGTGGTAAGTGTAACATCACCTTAGAGGAGCTCAGAACTTTATCATGTCTACAAGAGCCTTTCCGTCTTGAAAATACTGAATTTTTAGAATGCTTAAGTCCTAGCTTAGAGTTTCATTTCATTTGCATCACTTTGAATTTCTTTTTGAAATAAGCCTTCTGGGGTTTAAGCAACATGAAGACAGAGTAGTAAGCATGTAAATTGAAGCCACAGCAACCTGAAGAGATAAAATACAGATACAGGCCCGGAAGTTGAGGGTTTTAATGCTCACAAGGACAGAAGAGACCACCTTGGGCTGACCTGAGATGGGGAACTGTAACTGAGCTTTGCATAAAGCTGACCCCCTGGAAGGGCAAATCCCTCAGTGAAAGGGGAACTAGAAACAGATATCCACAGAGGCAAGTGATGGGAGAAAGTTCTCTCTGACCAGGGTTCTGGGTGGCCTCTTGTGGAAAATCCAGGGCCTGAATTTATACTGTGTAGGTACAGAATTCTCCAAACCAGTAAATTAGTGTAAAATTAGACCAGAACTGATAGAGCCTAGGATACCTGGCAGAAGCAAATGCAATAATGGCCCTTTTGCAACAATTTTGAACTTTAAGGCCATCAGGACTCCCATCTGAAAAGAAAATCTCTACTGAAAGTGAGCTCACGATTTAACAAAAAAAGAAAAAGGGAACAATGTACTATGACTGACATAAGACTCAACAAAGAGGATTGGGCATCCCCTTCTACCAAGAACTTGAGAGAACAGTCTGAATGAGACTGTAAAATATGCTTTAAATGATGAACAAAAAATAGCAACCTTCCACTTTGTGGTCAAGACAGGTCCCATTGCTCAGTGTCTTGGAAATACCAGTGTGGGATCCTAGTACCCATGGTGAGACATCAACAATAAAATTACTTAGAGTTGAAACTAATGTTCTCCAGAATAGTTTAAATACCAGCACACCAGGCCTGCTTGCCAGTTGACTGATTACCGTGCTGCCTCGGTAGTTGACTGCTTCTTTTTCAGCAAAGGGTTTGATGATACGGAGTGACAATGAGTGAGTCACAGTATAACTTGGCTCAGTTTAGGAGAGCAGAACAAGGATTACTGTGCAGAAGGAATTGGCTGTGCTGCTATGATGAGACTAATGTGTTGAGGGGCTTTTCCAACATAGAATCCTAAAGTAAGTAACTAACCCAAATTTACATCTGCTCCCTTTTCATGGAAATCTAACCTCCTGTTGGCTTACAGAGCCTCAAGCCAAATATTTGAGGTCAGTCAGCATGGGTGCGAGAATGCTTTACTTTAGAAATAGGAAAAGGAATTTGGGTCACAGAAATCAGGGCAAATTTCCTCCTCTTAAAACCAAAAGGGAACAGTGAATAAATGTCAGTTTACTTCCCTATTTGCATTTCCATTTCATATTCAGTAAAATGAACATTCCAGATGGGAACCCTCACATGAGTTGATCTTTTTGTTTGTTTGGCTGCAAGGCATGTGGGATCTTAGTTCCCCAATCAAGGATTGAACTGGTGTCTCTTGCATTGGAAGCCCAGAGTCTTAATGACTAGACCACCAAGGAAGTCCCAGGAACCCTCATAAAAGAGGTGAATCTTAGTCCAAATCCTTCTCTCGAATTAGAACTAGCAAGTTTTCATTTTCACAAACCTGACATTAAAAAAAAACTTAAAATTTTTCCATCTAAGCAGAATGTAATAAAGCAGTTCAACTTCTCTAGAGAAAACAAATTTTCCATCTATAGTCAACTACTGATTCTACATGCTTTCCCATGGATTCTTTCCTTTCAAGGATGTCATAATTATGGCTATTTTCTCATTTAACTGGCATTGCCCAATGGAGAAGATAAGCAAAAACTTGGAAAGAGATGAAGTTTTCCCCCCCTGAGAACAGTTCTATTTAATGTCTGCTAGTGGAAGGTGAAACTAATGATTAACTAAAGATGGTGGGTTACCTTAGTTTTCAGCTTCTATTCTGCTCTTGTCCCAGTATGAATAAAAAGAGTCAGATCTTAACGCAGATCTTAAGCCTCGAAACCGGCTTTCACCATAAAGATCCAGATAAAGCCAGGTAAATATTGATTGGCATTTAAACATTATGAATGTATATGTTTAAATTCAAGAGCTCATGCAGGAAAAATTAGTACTTTTCTTGTACTGCAGACCATAAAATCAGAAAAGAAAGAGTTTTAGGAAATGAAATTTGGGAAGCAATGTGAGTTTTAGCTGTTTCAGCTAATTTGATATCTATATATAGGACAGAAAAACTAACCTCCACAACTGTAATGTAGCATTTACTACAAAAACTTTTCATTAAAAACATTGTCAAACTACTTATTGACCTATGGTCTTTTTGAACCACTATTGAAAAAAAGACACTGTTCTCTCTTAAAATGTAAAATAGATTATACCTTAGAGCATTAAATACCTAGTAGAAATTTGAACCTAGAAAATCTACTGTACTAGTAATGTTGGTTATCAAAAGCCTTTGTGAATCCAACTTATAAATATTACACAAAGCAAAGTTTAGCTTGCCCCCCTGGGAGCTTCTCTTGAGTTTAACATATTGCATTCCTTTAAAAAAAGAGAATTGATTCCCTCTATTTAAATAAAACAAAAATCTTAACAAATGTCTAAATGAATTTTGTCTAAAAGAGCTTTCTCTGACTTTTTTTTTTCATTTATTTTTATTAGTTGGAGGCTAATTACTTTACATCATTGTAGTGGTTTTTGTCATACATTGAAATGAATTAGCCATGGATTTACATGTATTCCCCATCCCGGTCCCCCCTCCCACCTCCCTCTCCACCCAATCCCTTTCTCTGACTTTGATATCCTTTTCACTTCATCTGTTTTTTAATTTTTTTTTCCACTTCATCTATTTCATCTGTGTTAGTTGCTCAGAAACATTTTCCCAGTACACTCCTTCAAACTTGACACCTGGCAGGTGACTGCTTCTTAAAGCCATTGTCTTCAAAAGTGAATAGAATCGAGACATAGCATGTTCATCCCAGTCTTTGTATGGATGCTGTGGAGTACTCACATTTGCTTGGCCTCCTTTTTCACCAAGCTGTGAACTTTTTGTGAGAACGTTGATACTCCTGTCTTCGAAGTTTTAATTTTATCAGGTCTGTGAATATACAGTTTAGAATTAACTAGTTCTAGAGTTAGCTAAGAAAAACCCAGTCCCCAGCCTTCTCTTCCCACTTCCAGCCATTATCTGTGTATATATTCCCAATCCTCATATTTTCCTGATAGGACTCTCTTAGGATTTGCTTTAATTAGTATTCATTATTCATGTTACTATGATTTTATATACTCCTCAGAGCTGAACTATATAGTGTGATTATTTCTCGCCATAAAAGTTATTTTTTTTTCCATAAAACTTTTTATAAGTAATTAGATATTTACCCATTAAGACTTGTCTCTATTTGTTTGCTTAATTTTTTGTGTTAACTGCCATTCATTCCCAAATTCCAGTGAGCTGAAACTCTTCAAAATAGTCCTACCGATTTCACTCTTAAAGTCTCCTTTGGGAGCCGTTTGACTGCTTTAATCTGAAACGATTTTCTTCCACACCTGAAACTGTCATTCTATGAACTCCCTTCATCACAGCCCTGAGGATTCATTCTCTTCATCTGTTTTGTACGTTGGGTCTCCTCTTGTATTTTTCTTTCCTTGATTTATTCCTTCATTTTGATGAAGAACATACTCTAGTATAGCTTCCTAAAAATAGGTGTTCAGTTCAGTTCAGCCGCGCAGTCGTGTCCGACTCTTTGCGACCCCATGGACTGCAACACGCCAGGCCTCCCTGTCCATCACCAACTCCCGGAGTTTACTCCAACTCATGTCCATTTCATTGGTGATGCCATCCAGCCATCTCATCCTATGTTGTCCCCTTGTCCTCCTGCCTTCAGTCTTTCCCAGCATCGGGGTCTTCTCAACGAGTCAGTTCTTCGCATCAGGTGGCCAAAGTATGAGATAGGTGTGTAGAGTAAAGTTTTAAACAGGTAGCGACCTTACATGTTTTAGAACGTTATTTTTCTTCACACTTACATGATGGTTTCTGTATATTTTTCTAGATTAGAAATAGTTTTCCTCCTAGTCTGAAGTCATTCTGATTCTTGATTCTTTTCTGTGCCGTGTTCTCTCTGAATGAAAGCTTGTACAATCCTTGTTTTTCCTTCTGAAACTTCACAGTGATATGCCTTGGTTTGTGTCTCTTTTCTTTTCACCCACTGTACTAGGTCCTTATTGTGCTCTTTCAATGTAGAAACTTGTATCCTTCAATTCTGGGAATTTTTCTTTTTTATAGATCTCCTTTCATTTTCTTTGTCTCTCTTATTGGAAGTCTTGCTCTTTGAGTGCTGACTTTCCTGGACCAGTCTTCTGCTTTTTGTCCTATTTTCCATCTCCTCCTGCTCTGCTTTTTTTTTTTTTTTGCCATAACCATGTGACGTGCAGGCTCTTAGTTCCCTGACCAGGGATTGAACCTGTACCCCCTGCAGTGGATGTGCAGAGTCTTAACTACTGGACCACTAGGAAAGTCCTCCTTTTTGCTCTTTTTTCTAAAAACTTTTTATGAAAAAATTTTAACTCTACGAAAGTAAGCAATTACATGATGAGTCCCG